CGAGAACCCTCGCTCGATATCTAATTAAAGTCTTCGAGAACACTCGCTCGATATTAAAAATTTTCGAGAACGCTCGCTCGCTTCGCGCTCGCGTACTCCCAACTCGCAGATTTCTCGTTAGGGGTCAAATCGCGCTCGATAGCCTCTCGCTCGAACTCGCAACTCGCTCGTTACACGATGTTAACTTTCATTAGGGCTGTACTGTATGTTGTTTCCACCATCAATGAAACCTAATAGGCTCAAATTGGTGCTAATTTGATAAATTAATATTAGTCACTACAGTATATAAATTAATTTATATAATTATACTGTATGTAATCAGCTTTATTAAGATAATTTAAGTATATGGTACATTGTTTGCTAGCTACTTCAACTGAACTGTGTCGGTTTCTTCTAATCCTGGTTAAAAATACTTGTCACTCCTGAGCAAATAGCAGTGTGTCTGTACATTAGCGTATACAATAACCTTGACACATGTTCATGGGTTTGACCCTCCACTGTCCCATATAAATAATGTTGACCTGCGCATTACAAAACAGGCCTCAGAGGTGTAACTTTACACTTGCCCGCTTGCCGATCAAGTGAAATCATGATGGTCAAGTAAACGTTTTATCTTGCTTGCCTGATTGGGCAAGTTACCCTTTATGTTTTTATTCTCGGATAAATTTTTATAGTGCATGTACTTGATTCAAATTTTGTTTTTTGTGGGCCAAAGCTACTGACGTGCAGATCTGAAGCAGTATAACATAGCCATATAGAGCAGTGGGAGAACGGGTTGACATGTTGTCCCCTGCCTTAATTTATACCCCTTACCTACTGTAGGTACCGCAGTGGCCAATGGCCATTGTCTGATGGCAAGTGAATTTTATTCAGGGAAACACATTTTCATGTCCAATTTGCCCGGAGGGCAAGTGGTCAAAAAAGAATTATCAATAATAAATACTAATTTAAGTTTGGAAAACCCAATTTCTATTCAGCACAGTGCCAGTGGGTCAAGGTTTTTGACCAGGATTGCAGACTATAGTCTCAGTTTATTGTAAACATAACTTAGGTTTCTCTGTCAACCATTATACCTGCATTTATTCAGCACTTTGAGGCTATAATACCTGTATAGACTGTATAATAATTATTGTAAATTGTAATTGTTTGGATTACATTGTTTGGTTATACGTGTACGTGTTCCAGAAATCCGTTCATAATCATTGGTGAAATGTTCCCGTTTAAAGCATAACGTGTAAAATATACAGCTATAATTCATAAAAGGTTGTCCTTTGAGAAACCTTAAACTCCAAACCTTAAACTCTAAGCGTGCAAAGCATAATGGGAGCAGGCCTCGAAATAAGTGCCGGTCATCGGTCACTGACCGGTAAAATTTCACAGTTTGACCGGCAAATATCGTCTCCTGGTGGAGTGGACATGCGTGACCGGTAAATGTTTTAATAGTTGACCTGCATCTAAGGACGTAAAGCCTCATTATTAGAGACCTTAAGATTGACGTTTACGGCAAACGTCAAACCGCTAGCGAGGTTTATGATTTTACAACTCTATTATAATAGCTTTTACACCAGTTTTGAAATATGTTAAACTTATTAAACTTGTGCTCTTTAGCAATGATTTAAGAAAGCAAATTAATCACTAGTCATGCCATTCACCAAAGCAGTAAATTAAGATTTGGCGTTTGAAGTTGACGTTTGGCGTATAAATTTCATGCTTGAACTGCTACGAGAGCTTGTAGTCGTTAAAGCATGAAATTTATACGCCAAACGTCAACTTCAAACGCCAAATCTTAATTTACTGCTTTGGTGAATGGCATGATTTGTGGTTAATTTGCTTTCTTAAATCATTGCTAAAGAGCACAAGTTTCATAAGTCTAACATATTTCAAAACTGGTGTAAAAGCTATAATAATAGAGTTGTAAAATCAAAAACTTCGTTAGCGGTTTGACGTTTGCCGTAAACGTCAATCTTAAGGTCTCTAATATCATTAACTCGACGAAAGACACGCAAAATCACTGTTTCTTATTGGCTCTCACTATATGGCCTATATGCAAAACACGGCTAAACGCAAAATAGTAAGATTCTATTGGCTGTTGCATTACCTTTCTTGTATGCTAAATATGTTGTCCTGAGTTATTCGTTTTGTAATGCATGGTCATGAAATAGTATAGGTAATAAATCATTACTATATGCAGATAGGCATTTTGACAGATTATGCTCGCAACCCACAGTGTTAATCTGCCCAATGGGATTTGTCTTTAGTCTTTACTATTATTACAAAGGGCAATTTGTATAGATAGAAAACCTATACTCGTGCTGCGTGCCTGTCAAAATTGTAATTTCGCGAAGCATATTTTGTTCAGCAAGACAAATTAATTTTCGGGCTTGTCTAATTGCCACTCTTTGTCTTGGAGGCATGGCTCAAATTGTTTGTGTAGCATGCTTGCAGTCTGTACTGCAAAAGCTCAAATATAATTTGCGTATATGAACTAAGTCTAGTGACATTAAAAATACTATATTTCTCAACACTACAGTATATATATAACAGTATTGTGAGTTGCGCGGCATTGTGAAATGTATGCGTTAAACTTTTGTATATCTTGAACGAAACCGCACGAAACTTTGGTTACTAACTATATAGCTTACTCGCCTTTAGCCTGAAAGGCTGCCTCGTACCCAGGCGTCTCTTTGTAAAAAAACAGTGATGCGCATATGACGTGTTTACATGAAGTATTGTAGTGGGGAGAGATGGCGAAGGGGCTGATGGGAAGAGTGCACTTGAACTGCGAGACGCCTGGCAGTTCTTGGTCGATTTCTTGCAAATTTGTACGATTTCTTGCAAGTTGTGTTATTTCGTTGTCGTTTACGATTTTTTGCTACTTGTTTTTGTTGAATTGACTAATGTTAATATTCTTCTGTCATCCGGGCGTGAATTCATGCTGTTATTCTTGGTATATATGACATATATATGCCCTTAAAGTCCATGGAAATTCCAATATTAACATGTCAACAACCGAAGCGTTGAAGAACTAGACTTGCAGGAACTAGATTTGTAAGCTATAACTATATAAAGGTACAGACTATAAAATTGCACTATTGTAATAAATATTTCAAACTTTACGGCTGTGAACTTTTATTTACTTGGGCTTTTGTTTACAGTATACATTTAATAGAAATTGCCATTGGCATTGTGATCTTTATTCTATGCTTTCAGCTAAAGAAGTTATTAATACAAAAGCAATTATATGACTTTCTAATCATTTCTCTGTTACTGTTTTATGCTAACTGAGTAACTGATAGCATTTTATTATTCTCCATGTAATATCGAATGACATATTCGAAATATTCGCACGGTTAACTTGTCATGTTATTTACTCATAATTTTTCGCGCATTTTGCATGTCATCAAACATCTACAAATGTATTATTATTTGCCAATGGCGTTCAATTCAACTCTTCATCACAAAGTAAGGTTTTACACACAGAGTATATGACGATATGGTAACTTTTTGTATAAAATTCCCTGTTTTCCCGCATGACAGTATACAAGAACTGCCAGGCGCTTCCCAGCACGCACCCTTCCCAACAGCCCCTTCGCGCGTCGGATGCCTACCTGAATACTTCATGTAAGCGCCTGGGTACGAGGCAGCCTGAAAGGAGTGAACAAGTTATGACATTGAGTTGCATAGGAGTTCGCTTGTATATCTATTCGATCATTCTTTTATTCTTTAGTTGACGGTTCTGTTCATATATTCATGCAAATTATACCAAATTTGTTTCATGCAACGTGTAATGCGAATGGAATTTTGTCCCGGTGTCACAGGAGATTCGCCCCCCCCCCAGGAGATTCGCCCCCCCCCCTCTCGAAAGGGGGGCGATATTCCTAGGATATTCGCCCCCCAGGGGGGCGAATTTCCTAGGAATATCGCCCCCCTTTAGGAATTTCGCCCCCCCCAAATAAATTTTGAATTTTTGATCTAAAAACAAAACGATTGCAAGTTGAAAAGATTTATTGTGTGATTGATTTATTTATTACAAGGAGACAAAATTACATACACATTTTAGGCTTCTTAGCAGCTGGTGGTGTGCACAGTCTGCATAACCACTCATTTGAGGCACTTAGACTAGTGTCATATTCTACACATCTAAAGTGGAACCATCACAGAGATCGCATAAAATCATGTTGTTGTATTCTTCTGGCAGTTTACATTCACATAACATATTATAAAAACAATCGCTTGCAAATTTTATCAATGCGAGTGTTAACAATAGCCGCCACAGTAATAACTTGCTAACAATAAACTATAGGATTAGTAAAAAATGTGTTGGGAAGCGTATTGACCAATAATTACAATAACCACCACGGTGATTACTTTTTAACAATGAGTTTAAGGATTAACACTGAAAATTAATGCAAAATATGCATGTGTGCTGTGAAGCGTCATAAGTCCTATTGTCTATTGAGTGTTCATCTACTGTAACTGTGTAAAGCCCTTTCGATACATGCATGTAATTGTAAATTTGTATTCTTACATGCAGGGCTTGAAATAACGTTCCCAAAGTTCCCGATCATGGTGATCGGCAGTCGGACTTTCCCTGCTTTTTTCAGGTTGGAAACCGAAACCATGCTTTTCCGCCGATCATAAGCAATTCCTTGCCGATCGGTGATCGGTTGTTATTTCAAGCTCTGTCTTAACAATTTTGAATTGATACTGATTTCAAATGATTAAAGCCATGTAATAATTATCCCATGCAACTGTTAATAAGGGCTAAATTTTGAACGGAGGACGACAATCCTAAAGAAAAGGTGAAGTTTCTAAAGGGGGGCGAATTTCCTAAAGGGGGGCGAAAATGTAGGGGGGGGAGCGAAAATCCTGGGACACCGGCACAACAATGTTTGAACCTTATAATGTACGTCGAATTGTGACATGTCCTTTTAAATCTTGTATAGTCATCACTTCAATGCGGAATGATCTATACTTTTAAGATCAGTTCATAACAACATAATCTACACTTAGGTCTCTATTATGCGCCTTATTAACACATATCCTTTATGTAACCAATCAAATTTGTGATTTTTGGCTATGCAAATTTTATAACTGAATATAAGCTCGTTTACGTCCTTAGATGCAGGTCAACTAATAAAAAAGTACGTTAAAAAATGGAGCAGATTTTTGATTTCCAATTTTGCAAAGAAGTGTATGTCCGTCGACGGTGCAGGCTAATAAGGGCGGCGAAGTGACACATTTTGTCATACAGATACGATATACCGCAAGCATTGCCACCGGTTACGCGTTTTTCACACGTGCGACGGAAAAGTTTAAATCTTTTAAAATTTCATGTAAGTGCAAATAACCTTAACAAATACACATTAAATCATACACAAAACTGAATGCTGTCCTTTTATAAATTTAGTTATTTCATAAGTAGGATGTAAAGCGATTTCAAATTTTGAATGCGTGTACGCACGTATGAAAAACGCATAACTGGAATGCAGCCTTACATGCTCGCAACTCAAACTACAGTTGGTGACTTAGAGATTTAGTGTCCACGGGTCATAATGACCGGTAGTATAACGTCCAGATTTATTTCGAGGCCTGAATGGGAGCATCATATAATCAGTTTATAAATCATATATGGGGCCCATTTCTTAGAGACATAATTTCCAGACAGCGCGCAGGGCAGCCGCGGCTGGGCTTCGAACCCGCGACCTTCAAGTTACTAGATCGATGCTCTACCAACTGAGCAAATATATTCTCCTACAACATGTGTTTACCATGAGGAAAGAAAATATGGCATACATGGCTATCCTTGGGAGTAAACGCTCCTTGAAAAGGAATATCTTCACTTTCCGGGACGCGTTATTTTCACCTTGACAACTGGCCTCTGTAGCTCATTAGGGAGCTTTAGATTTGACTACGAGTAAGACTACGAGATTTGATCGCGTGCGAGGAAATTACCGTAGTCGTTTTCGTTTCCATTCAAATATTGCTTTTATAACAGTAAACCAACAACGAGAGAAAAAGTTTCATAAACTAAATCTCCTGCCGACTAAAATCCCCTACAAAACGTGTAAATAAGTCATAACATTAAAAACAGGCCAGATATTTAGTACTAATATATTATTTGCGCCGGATAAACGCTATATAAATGCTACAAATTATTTTTGGAAAACAAAAAAAACAAACTTTCTTTGTTCCTTGAAAAGTCGTCGTGAGGACTACGAGATTTCTCCACAATTTCGTACTCAGATGGGCGACGGCTACGACTTTTTCGCGTCAGTATGGGATGGCGTAAGCATACAGCATTCGTTTAGCTTGACGAATCTCGTACTCGTAGTCGTACTCGTAGTCAAATCTAAAGCTCCCTATTTTGTGAGAACGCTGCACGGGATCACAGGGCCGGAGCAAGTTGCGATTGTTCACTCGATAATATGATAAGGATGAAATGTTCTCGAGTGAGTTATATCGTAATTTCCAGACAACACGCAGCTGGAGTTTCGGTGCCAAATGGGTCTCTATATATTGGATGCTATAGCACAGCAATGTGCCCATTGCTGTACTTCCTTCGAATGTGCCCATTGCTTTACTTCCATTTTGCAAGGTATGATCACGAAAATCGCCAACAACACATCCTCAATATTGAGGATTACGGAAACATATTGTGTGAAATATTCCCGTTGTGATGGTAACCAGATAATGTCAAAAAGATCGTACTATTTTTGGATTCTTTCTTAGATATTTTAGACTTCCTTTACTAAAGCTATTCTATTATCTGCACACATTCAAAAAATTGCAGCAACCGCGATCCGAATTTTCGACAAAGTCTATAAGATGCTGTAAATAAGCAATAAACCCCTCCGGAAAGTATGTCATTCTGGCTATAGAGCTTCGTTTTCGTGTATGCAACAATGTTGTAGCCTAATGACTAATGTCGTAATTACGAGAACGAGGCTCTAAGCTCTATAGCGAGAATGGCGCGTACTTGAAGCAATAAACCCCTCCGGAAAGTATGTCATTCTGGCTATAGAGCTTTGTTTTCGTGTATGCAACAATGTTGTAGCCTAATGACTAATGTCGTAATTACGAGAACGAGGCTCGAAGCTCTATAGCGAGAATGGCTACAGCCAATTCAAAGTAGGTGTCCTTTGAAAAACCTTAAAATCTTAAACTCTAAGCGCGCAAAACGTAATGGAAGCACAAGTTGAATATTGCAGCTATTTGTGAATGAATTGTTAATTCACGTAAGGAGATATTTACCACGATATATCTCACTCGAGAACATTTCATCCTTGTCATATTAATACCGAGTGAACAACAACCCAAATTAATATAACACTTGCAGAACTGCAATCCTTACAAAAACTAATGAAACATCCAGTATGATTAACAATTTAATCCCTTACAATGTTGATTAAGATGAGTAAAAAACCTACACATAGTGCTGTCTGCCATCGATGAACTATTGAACCCCATTTGTTTAGACTCTACACCCAACTTTGTTCAGGGTGGAAGGGATTTTGTCTATTTTATTGATTTTTATGGGTGTTTCATCACCTTTCTGCCAAGATTGTAGAGAAAAAATCAAATGAATAAGTTGCGTTAGGTTTCTAGCAACGCACAAGTGGTCTTGTGTTAAAGTCTACAGGCTGTGTAATGTACCAGCTGTGGTTCAAGTCCTACAGAAGCCTTTTTGTGACTTAAAAATGGTTGAATTTTACTTATACAAGCTAGAGAAAAAATAAGGTGAAAAAGTTGCGCTAGGCTTCCAGAAACGAGTAAGTGGTCTTGTGGTAAAGGCTACAGCATGTGTAATCTACCAGCTGTGGTTCAAGTCCTAGAGAAGCCATTTTGTGATTTGAAAATGGATGAAGTTTGATTATACAAACTATGAGAGAAAAAAATAAGGTGAATAAGTTGCGTTAAGTTTACAACATATACAACGAGCTATAGTGGCCTGGCTTGTGGTAAAGACTACAGGCTGTGTAATGTACCATATATTATGGTTCAAGTCCTACAGAAGTCATTTTGAGACTTGAAATGCGTCCAATATTAATTATATAGGTTAGAAGAAAAAGGTTATGGTGCCGACTAAGTTTCGACAGGTCTTCAACAACGAGCAAGTGGCCTAGTGGTGAAGACTAAACCCAGTGTAATGTAACATTGTGGTTCAAGTCCTACAAAAGTCATTTTGCGACTTGAAATGTGTCGAATATTAATTACACAAGCTAGAGAAAAAAGGTTAAGGTGAATAAGTTGTGATAGGCTTCCAACAACGAACAAGTGGTCTAATGGTAAAGACTACACGCTGTGTAATGTAACATTGTGGTTCAAGTCCCACAGAAGTCATTTTGTGATTCGAAATTAATGTGCCGAATGTTAGACAAAAAATAAGTTGCGGTAAGCTTCCAACAACGACCAATTGGTCCAGTGGTAAAGACTAAATGTTGTGTGATGTACCATTGTGGTTCAAGTCCTACAACTCATTTTGTGACCTGAAATGTGTCGAATATTAATTACACAAGCTAGAGAAAAAAGGTTAAGGTGAATAAGTTGCGATAGGCTTCCAACAACGAACAAGTGGTCTAATGGTAAAGACTACACGCTGTGTAATGTAACATTGTGGTTCAAGTCCCACAGAAGTCATTTTGTGATTCGAAATTAATGTGCCGAATGTTAGACAAAAAATAAGTTGCGGTAAGCTTCCAACAACGACCAATTGGTCCAGTGGTAAAGACTAAATGTTGTGTGATGTACCATTGTGGTTCAAGTCCTACAACTCATTTTGTGACTTGAAATGTGTCGAATGTTAATTACACAAGGTAGAGAAAAAAGGTTAAGGTGAATAAGTTGCGATAGGCTTCCAACAACGAACAAGTGGTCTAATGGTAAAGACTACACGCTGTGTAATGTAACATTGTGGTTCAAGTCCCACAGAAGTCATTTTGTGATTCGAAATTAATGTGCCGAATGTTAGACAAAAAATAAGTTGCGGTAAGCTTCCAACAACGACCAATTGGTCCAGTGGTAAAGACTAAATGTTGTGTGATGTACCATTGTGGTTCAAGTCCTACAACTCATTTTGTGACTTGAAATGTGTCGAATGTTAATTACACGAGGTAGAGAAAAAAGGTTAAGGTGAATAAGTTGCGGTAGGCTTCCAACAACGAGCAAGTGGTTTAGTGGTAGCGATATCGGACTGCTAAAGCCAATGTCGTGTATCAGGATCGGTTCGAGGACGAATGAAAGAATAATAAAAAAAGATGGCGGACGAAAGTAGAAGATGACAAAAGAAAATAACGGCGGAGCAAATGTTTGGAGAAGATATCACCATTGAAATTAATCTTTACTAGTTACCATGATGTGGCGCATGCGCGGTAAACTTAGAATATAACAGCGTACGGTTGGGAAGGGGGCAAAGGAGGGGGCCGGGAGAAGAGGAAAAATTTGACTAAGTCTTTTTCCTCGACGCTTTGAGCAAGGTACGCCAAGGTTTCCCCTCAGAAGTTTCGGGGAAACAGAACCCCCGATTTTCGTCTCACTCCGCATTCGGCCGGTCAGATCGATTACCTGAGCAAGATGTCGCAGCCGGTCTTACCCGGGCTCGATCCTTCCACCATAGTACCCGAAGGCTTTGAGTGGTACCGCTAGACTACTAGGTCTATTGGTGAAAGGTTAATGTTTTCTATCATAGCTAATCCTTTTTCTCTACCCCATAATTAGTTCGTACCCCTGACAAAGGCCAAAAGGTCCTTGTCAGGGCAGGAAACGATCCTGACTTCACCAACATGCTTGCGACACTTAACCGAGACCACTAGACCATCGTGCCTGTTGCTAATTGTTAGCAGGTGCAAAATGTATAACCTGATTCTACTACGTGCAATGGTTGTTGCAACAATTATATTGCGAGACTTGTGATTGCGAGACATGATATACCTTGCAAAAGGCAATTCCCATTATAGCTAGGCATCATGAGAAATGTGGTAGGCTTCACTTGCACGCGAAATGGCCGCCGCGAAGCGAGCATTTTGCATGCGAGAGAAATTGCTTTATTAAAGTACATTTTTTCCAGAGTATTATAGTTTGAATAAAAGTAATGTGTTTGTAATACATTGAAGTATATTGTGGACGAAGTATATCGAAATCGAAGCGAAAACGGACGAAAGAATTAGTGTTGAACAGGCGAGGAGCGAAGAATGGCCTCGCAAATACGCTCCGAGAGGAAGGTTCAAGTCTACATTCTAAGGTGAGTACGCTTGGTAGACATCGGACTCCTCGCCATTTTTCACTACAAATACGTGTGAGTTGTTGCTCGATTTATATCTCGATTTTCTCAACGATCGAGCGTTATCTCGCGATTTTTTCGCTTCTTGAAACTCTCAAATTCGGCCCATGATGTCTTTCGTTCGTTCGATAAGCATGGCCTCCAAAAGCAGTCTTTTAAAAAAGTCTTGAAAATGTTTTGGCGCGAAAGAAAACCAACCTAAACCGGTTTTTTCCGCCCCAGCTCTGTTACGTTGCGAAAAGCATAAAAAGAAATAATTTTACCGCTGTTTCTGCCGTTTATAATATTAATTTCTGCTTCCTTTGTGGTGGTCGGTTCATTTCCTATCAAAATAAACAAGTAGGTTCTAGCTAGTTAATTTTAAATATATTAAATTTACCTCTTTTAACTTTGTTAAAACTGTTTAAAATTTGCATAGTTTTGTGCTTAGTTAAATACAAATTTAAAGGCATTCTAGTTTAATTTTTTTCATATAAAGCTGCAGGCAGTTTAGTGGACTAGAATATAAATATATTAATATTTTAAAATAAAGAGTAGGTTTAAGGCAGGTCCTAAAAATTAAATTTCTAGATAGTTAATTTTAAAATTGTTAGGATAGGTTTAAGTTAAATTAAATATTATGGATAATGAACCAGGAACTTCAATAGAGGCAGATAAAAATTTGGCAGCAGACCTAGAAACTACATGTTCTAAGAAAAAGCAGAATGGTGGTGGTGGAACAACTTGTTGTATTCCTAAATGTGATAGCAATACTAAAAAAATCCTGAGCTATCATTTTATCAAATTCCAACTGATACGAAGCTGAGAAATACATGGTTACACTGGATTGGCCGAGCAAGCTTTAAACCTAACAAGTTCCACCGGGTTTGTTCAAAAGATTTTGTGGGTGGCAAGAAGACTTGTCTTCACAAGGTTCCAACAGTTGTGCAAAAAGTTTTGCTGCCTACACCAACAAAGCCCAGAACAACATTTAAGAGGGCCTCTCAGTAAAATCCACTCACTGGTTTGGGGAAGGAGAAATAGATTTAGCTCATATTTTGCATATGAACTAGACTTTGGTCAATATTAATCGAGCTTCTTTCAGAATGTTTCAACTTTCTGTTTCATAGGAGTTATAGCCATGTTAAAATTTGACCTTGCGAGAATATTTTCAGACCGGAAATGAAGGGAAATTTTACAAGAATTCATCTGATTTTTTAAAAAACGTTGTGATACGTTTATCCCCTTCAGTTACTGTTCACATGCAAGATTAACACTAATACTCTCGTTTACATTGAGATTGAACAACTTTATTTGCTTAATACGATTTTTTTTAAAGTTTTACGAAACTAAGTTTTCAAGATGGCGACGAGAGGCTGAAAATTGCTCATATTTTACGTAAAATAGCTCAAAAGTGGCACCTATCTGAAGTTCAAAAGGCATGTAATTTGAAAGTACACCTACTAAAGTTAAGTAATCAGGAATAAAACTCGTCTGCAAGCAATTTTCTGAAAAGTTATAAATCTCCAAATTGGGTCTATTTTTAGCTGTTTGTTGACATTCGCGTGTTCGCTGATCTGCGACACTAGTAATTGAAGAGTTAAAATAAGCTGATTTATTACCCATGAGTAAACTTTTTTAGCTTGTTCAAAAGAATATATACAATTTTGAGAAAATATAATTACAATATATACAAGCGATCGTGTACAGAACATTCTTGAATTTGAATTGCTTTACATTTATGCTTAACTTACACTTGCACTAATTATACACTTTCAATATACACATACAATAGTACAGTTACAACGAGTAGTACAGTGTCTACGACCCTGATATCTTTTAATGTTATTAATAATAAGAACTTCGTCAATACATTGACACAATACCATAATCTCCTGATTATGACCTTGATCTGCCGCTCCCACGGCGGGAGGTGCATGTCTGAACGACCAATGTGAATAGAAAACTTACAGTAAGTGTCTCTGTGCGATGTTTAGGTCATCAAATAGTGCTACAGGTAATATCGGTTTAATGCATTTTGCAGAAACTCCCATGATTTTGATGTCGCTCAATATGATAATCAGAATCCTGTTTTGCCGAAGGGTTGCTATTTTTATGAAAATGCGTGTACTGACCCAAGTCTAGCTCGATTAGACAAATTTGGGTAACGTTTGTTTATACCCAATTCACAACTTTATATAGCACACATGCCTAGTTACTATGGGTCGAATTCTAGACTACAAAAGCATAAATTAGAACAAAGGTAACTAAATCTTATTGTTATATAGTCTTATAACTCTTATTGTTAGTTAGTGTCAAAGTTCAATTATTCTATTTGCCGATTGTCAAAACCGTGTCACGTGCCGGTCCACAAAACCTCATGTTCGGCAACCGGTCGCGGCACTAACCCCTAACCACTAATCCCCTTATCCTAACCAGTAATTCCTAACTCCTAACCCTAACTTTTTTAACCGTTTTAAATTTTTTTAACTTTTTTAAAAATCTAACTTTTTAAACTTTTTTGCTTTTTAAAACTCTTTTAAAACTTTTTTAAATACTATTTTTTTGAAAATCTCTGTCTCTTACTGCAGTATTTCTGTTTTTGTAGCGGTTAACAAATTATAGGGAAATACGACGACATAATTAAATTTCAAAACTTTTATGTGTTCATATGCAGTGAATCAAACGAAAAATGCATCCTTTGTTACAATTATTTAAAATACTACAAAAATAAAAAAAACAAACTAAATTTTATCGCCATATTTCTCCATAATTCGGCAACCGCTACAATAATGCAAAAGTCAAAACAAAATAGTAAATGACAACAGACTACAAAAGCGGAAGTGGGAAGGTTGTAGTATTTGGACTGCAATTATGTACAAAAATATGTTGCATCCATGCTGCAAGAATTAATGTCCGATCTTTCCGGCAAAATTTCCATTTGCAGGGACAGAAAAAGATTAAGAGACGAGTTGAATAAAAAAGTTAAAGCACCGAACACTTTTTATATACAGCCAGAGATACTGACAGCTTTGAAATTTGCTACAACCACAGAAAGTACTGCCCGATTAAACCTTAAAAAGATATTTAACAGTTGTGAAATTATTCATGCGAATAAGCCAAGAATGGTTAAGGACACGGATCGTGGATTTGGTAACTACATTGTGCAGATGGTGAATTGGTTCACTGATGGTGAATTGGTTTCACGATCCGTAAACCATATGGACGATCTGTGCAGATGGTGAATTGGTTGACGGATGGTGGAAGGGGTTTCACGATCGGTGAATGGTGCACATGGTGCCAGAGGGTAGACCCCAAAACACTGACGATCCGTGCAGATGGTGCGCATGGTGAATTGGTTGACGGATGGTGGAAGAGGTTTCACGATCCGTGAATGGTGCACATGGTGCCAGAGGGTAGACCCAAAACACTGACGATCCGTGCAGATGGTGCGCATGGTGAATTGGTTGACGGATGGTGGAAGAGGTTTCACGATCCGTGAATGGCGCACATGGTGCCAGAGGGTAGACCCCAAAACACTGACGATCCGTGCAGATGGTGCGCATGGTGAATTGGTTGACAGATGGTGGAAGGGATTTCACGATCCGTGAATGGTGCACATGGTGCCAGAGGGTAGACCCCAAAACACTGACGATCCGTGCAGATGGTGCGCATGGTGAATTGGTTGACGGATGGTGGAAGAGGTTTCACGATCCGTGAATGGTCCACATGGTGCCAGAGGGTCGACCCCAAAACACTGACGATCCGTGCAGATGGTGCGCATGGTGAATTGGTTGACGGATGGTGGAAGGGGTTTCACGATCCGTGAATGGTGCACATGGTGCCAGAGGGTAGACCCCAAAACACTGACGATCCGTGCAGATGGTGCGCATGGTGAATTGGTTGACGGATGGTGGAAGCGGTTTCACGATCCGTGAATGGTGCACATGGTGCCAGAGGGTAGACCCCAAAACACTGACGATCCGTGCGGATGGTGCGCATGGTGAATTGGTTGACGGATGGTGGAAGAGGTTTCACGATCCGTGAATGGTGCACATGGTGCCAGAGGGTAGACCCCAAAACACTGACGATCCGTGCAGATGGTGCGCATGGTGAATTGGTTGACGGATGGTGAAAGTTGTTTCACCATCTATGAATCACACACATGGTGCCACAGGGTGAAATATAGGTAAAATTGTAGACGGTTGGTAGTACTTTTTGTTGAAAATGAGTGGAGACAAAAATATTTACATACACATGTGTTTTGTTATCTGCGTTTTTATGGCGACATTAACTTTCGCGTATAATTTATACAGAGTATTTGTTGACCTAGTAGACACTTAACTGTGACGATGGTAATTACGATAACTACTATTGTGGTTTGTTGGCAGAGAATACAAATTTAAAATACATAATTTTAATTTGATCGTACCTGCTCTGGTAAACTTTATAAATATTGAGAGCATTCAACGAATTATCCAATTTGGAACGTTGAGAATAAATATTTGTTTGTATTTGTGCATGTTTATTTATATGTACAACTTTCGTTCTCACAAAGACACATTACCGGTAGAAGTTTTTTTTTCCTTGGTTTGTGGAGAATGGATATCAAACTGACAAATCAAACTCGGATCAAAATTATTTGGTAATCGTGCGATTAAACATTTGAAATATGGGTATCCTAAGAGCTCCGTCACACGTGTAGTTTGACATTAGCAGCCCTTCTGAAACACTTTAATGAAAGTATAGTTCACAAAATTCATATTTTCACTTACCTCTTAACATCTGTTTTAATGCAACTAGCTCTGTAGGCACGAGCAAAATCTAGTGTTGATGTAAATATCCATTTAGTTCATGTTTCCCCGGTGAAAATATAGTCTATTCCAAAGCTCATTTCGACGTACTTTAGCTTTTCAGAAACCGCTGGCCTTCCTCAGTGAGATTATCAACTGTTTCAGAAACATATTTGATCGTAAACAGCTAAAATATTCTCCGAAAGTCTATATTTTTGTTCTTCGACGCGAAAATGGCAACTCAAGAAGAAATGAGCCGCTATTTTTGGTCAGCGTCGACAGATTGCTTCAGAGGTTATAGATTCATGTCTCGCTATTTATAATGCTAACCCTAATCCCCACCCTAACCCTAACCCTAACCGCTAACCCTATTAGCGAGACATGAATCTATATCCGCTTCAGATCATGAGAAACCGCACGATGTGTGAAAGGATTAATTGGTAACCATAGTTTTGTGTCAAAGTTGGTGAACTGATGACATCTATTAATTATCGAACCTTGCTACTTATTTGTAATAGTATCTTTGAAACAAAACTTCTTTTAATATTAACTGCTGAATTAGTTTCTTTAATATTTCGACTTCATATTACACATTGCAAATTGTGGTCGTCATATACAAACAAAAATCGCGCGCCAAATTCGAATATTGCACGCCAACACACTAGCATTCGAGGCGCATCAATGGACGATGTTTGCGCACAACGTAGATGATAAGAAAAATTGGTATGCATACAAATTGATACAATAAGTCGCTTCTTAGTAAAACATTCAAGTGTTTTCCATCAGAGATTAAACGGGTCAAACTTGAATACTTGCGAGACGACGAAGGTCGCCAAGTATCGCATCGCCGTTTCTTTGCCGGGGTGACTGAATACGTTATAACTGGCACAACAGATGTTATATACTCGACGCTTGGGGCAAGTAAGGCATTCGAATTAGTGCTATCAGAGCAAAGTCGGCTGCTGCTATTACCATGGTTATAATTGAACAAACCTTATTTCTGCGCGAATTGTACTGATTATATATATATCAACACACCGCAAACGGCAAACAGTGCACGAAATCTTTTTGTTTTAAAATCGGTAGGCAAACGCAAAAGCTAGCGCAAATTTGTGTTTATATTATGAAGACTAATTTAGTGGAGACTCTTGTGTTCAGAAAGATGCAGTCATCTTTTGCTGACAGGTTTAGAAGATGTAGTCATCTTTGCTATAATCAGTTGAACCTAAATTTTTATAATATAGTAACACATCTAATTATGCATGAATCATTTTATATGATATTGCGGTTGCAGCTGATACGGTAGCTATATAGGTCTGTCATAGTTATAATTCAACAAGCCGTATATATTTCTGCGCGAATTGTACTGGCTAGAACTGGCCAGACAAATAGAATGGCTATGTCAAGACTAGAGACCGCAAACAGTACACGAAATCTTTTTGTTTTAAAATCAGTGTGCAAACGCCAAAGCTAGTCATCTTTTGCTGACAGGTTAAGAAGATATGCAGTCATCTTTCCTTAATCAGTTGAACCTAAATTTTTATAATATAATAACCCATACATCCTATTATGCATGAATCATTTTATATGATATTGTGGTTGCAGCCGATACGATAGCTATATAGGTCTGTATTATCATAGTTATAATTCAACAAGCCTTATTTCTGCGCGAACTGTACTGACTAGAACTGGCCAGCCAAATATAGAATATATATAGCTGTATCAAGAGACCGCAAACAGTACACGAAATCTTTTTGTTTTAAAATCAGTGTGCAAACGCCAAAGCTAGCGCAAATTTGTGTTTATATTATAAAGACCAATTTAGCGAAGACTCTTGTGTTCAGAAAGATGCAGTCATCTTTTGCTGACAGGTTAAGAAGATGTAGTCAACTTTGCTTAATCAGTTGAACCTAAATTTTTATAATGAAAACACATCCTATTATGGCATTGTTCTATGGAATTTGTATATATGCAAATATTCATAACTCATTAATAAGCCTTTCTGCGCGAGTTGCAACTACATGTCATGGCTATTCTCATTTAGAAATTAGAATCTAACCAAATAAAACATATATAGGATATAACTGAATACCCTCACGAGTACAGGCTTCTGTAAGCAAGTTCCAACCGTCAATATCGCATGTTCACCTGCTCTATATCATAATAAAATGTTTGTATTGCATTTCACGGGATTTCACAAGACTAGTAACTTGTTTCTAAATATTCAACTAAACGCCACATGCTAATTTTCATATACCCACTGTGAACAGAACCAGATTGATGACTGCTTTGCCTATTAATTTTATTGGGATTAGGCATAATTGCATCCGGCGGAGTGCACAAATTTTGTGAGTTTTTCGGCCGGGTAAAGGGCAATAAATTTGTGGGAAAAAATTCTGAACCGGGTTGACGTTGTGAATAATACTTCATTTTATTTGTTTATTTATGAACTACATGTTTGTAAATAAAATAAATTATTTTGAGTTTGGGAAAATTACCACAGATTTTTATCATCATTTAATTACACGTCGTTTTGCGCGTTGTGAAAGTTAGCCTGCGGTGCAGACGCTTCGTATTTCATGATGAAAGGGTTTAAACGACTGGAAATAGTCTCTCTTCTCGATGGAGACGTGTTTACAACATGGACAGTTGCCAAAAGAACTGCGTTTAATTCTTTGGAAGAAACCGCTTTCGGATAAAGAGACATTCAAATTGATATTGTTCTTGGTAGGAAACGGTTGCCCCCCATTGGTTGCATACAAATGGATTATTACATCTACCTACTGGGGCAGGGGGAAAATGACAAAGCGTTGGGAACAAAGTAAATGAATTAACCTGAATATGGAAAGAAATATGCATTATTGGTTCTATTATGATATGTTTCACAGCAAATATATCTGAATGGTGACGAGAGACAATTGACAAGAATTGTAGAAAATCCTCAATGCCAATGGGCAATGGAGAATTGTAGTCAATATCGACAGTCATCAGTTGTTAATGTTATGATGCTAAAGTAGAAAAACTTGAAAATATGTTTGATAACCTGAATAAACATGAATGACCATGTTCCAAACACAATTAGAATAATTACGAACAAGAATTAAACAAATAGAATAATTAACAATTAGAATAGGTTAGTGATAACGTTGAATAAATGACTAGATGTGAACTATTAGCTGTGTTTATATAATTATATATTATGCTAGAGGAACGTATTATGCGTGTGGGCTTGTTGTACGTGCTAGCTGTACACTATTTGTGTTGTATAAAGACGGGACAAATAATCAGATCAATAATCTATATGTAGTTTTGTTACGTGTCGTTATTATAAAGACGCGGGCACCAGACCCATTATGCGTGCCGTAGACGAGCTATGACTGGTGTGGGTCTCAGACGAAAAATTGAACATAGTTCGTCTAGCATGTTGCGTCCGTCTTTATATTGAAGACACACTCAACCAGGCGAATGATAAATGCTTGCCGAAGTCCATAGACACGCATAATGCGTCTCTAGTATGAAAAGGGCCAATAAAACTGTCGCCTTTAAATGACAGATACTGCGTCGTAACTTATAAAGTTAAAACAGTGATTCTTAGTGTTTTAAATTCGTAACAGTGATTCTTAGACTTAGTGTCGTAACTTATTAACTTAGAAACAGTGATTCCCAGTGATTTTGTTGGATGATATCACATGAGAAAAAGCCAACCAGACAACCAGTAATTAGACAAGTGCGGTGTCGGTGAATATATACCAGTTAAAATCCCGCTTGAGTGAGCTTCAATATTTAAATGTAATGCATGCGAGGCAAACCGCACTAGCCACAAACAAATCAGGACTATGGACATAAGCAAATAAGGTAGCTAATATATAACACTGATAATTTAGTCAATGCCACATTGATAATATTAATATATAGGAGCTTATATATAGGCTAACAATGAGAATGTGTGTTTATTCGTGCTTTTTTGGAGAACGAGGCATACACATGCATTGATATATTATTTAGAATGTATACTATACAAGAGGTAATAACAATGAAAATATATGTTCATTCCTTTTAGTTTCGCCTTTTGGAGAACGACGCATACACACTACATACACATGCATTAATATATTATTTAGAATGTATAATATACATGAGGTAATAACAATGAAAATATATGTTCATTCCTTTTAGTTTCGCCTTTTGGAGAACGACGCATACACACTACATATATGAAAATGTCAGTAAACATATATGAGCTATTGTAATAACAAAACACATTGCATAAGAATAAAAAACAGTAATAAGAATGAAAATATCTGTTTATTTTCACCATACGCACGATGTGCACGGATCGTACGGATTTAGTGGGCATCAATTGCATGATTAGTGTTTGTTGCACTGTTGGAGGTAAACATGCACAGCTTGAGGTTTTTTACCATGTGTTACGGATCCTGAAGTATATTCACGATCTGTGTTGCATCGTGATTGTTTGACCATGTGTTACGGATCGTGAACTATATACACGATCCGTGGCGCATCGTGATTGTTTCACCATGTGTTACGGATCGTGAACTATATTCACGATCCGTGTCGCATCGTGATATTGGACATGTATGGTTGTGACTGGAGTATTCATTAGCTGCAAAAACCTGGCAATGTTCATAGAGGAACTTATTTCATATTATAATATTTATATCAAACTAGTTTTTCATGGTTCTGAAATGGAATATGAAGAGGAAGCCATTGTCAGTTGCCTTTGGGTCCTAAAATTCTTAACACCAAATAATTGTGAGACTGTACTGAGGGTCTCCCAGGGCTAGTTTTAGGAAACCAGAGAACAATGCATATTTTGCAATCAGAATTCAAAGAAAAAAAATGATAAAAAACAAGGGACCATAAAGTTGGGAAAACAAGGAAACATGATGAAATCTTTGTGGGGGAAAAAGGAAAAATTTGCAAGGGAATACATATCCAGGCCCCATAAGATACCATAGCTTTATACTCTACAGTGAATAAAAATAATAGTTTTTCACCTTAATTATTTGAAGCTCGAGCCATCACTACCAAGAAAGCTATGACCAATTCTTCTTCTACTGAATAACATAAAAAACTTATATCAGATTCTAAAATATAAAACCTTCATCACGTTTCAAAGGTTGTCCTCCTTTGACTATAAATGTATTGCATTTTATAAATTTTATACACAAACAAAAGCTAATTTTTATGAAAAACAGGGCAGATTTCGTCCTGGTTTATTTGACAGTGGGGTAAACTGCTATTTTGAATAATACTTGAACTCTTGGTCTTTGAACCGTCTTTCTCAAGAAAGGCTGCCTTCCTTCTGAAAAAAAACTCGCTTGGCACATCATGTAGAAGTTGCTGAAGGTCCATTTCAGTCTTAAAAGAAAGAAATACTATTCCAATCTGCAAAAGAAGGATTTTAAATGTTGACAGCCTGGACAGTCGCCGTGTGTTCAGCCTGTTTAAACGCGTAACCGCCACAGGCTTGTTTGTAAAAACATTGAATGCAATATACCAAAAATATAACATAAAAGTCCACAAGACACAACCTTACCTTCAAATACATATTCTAAACCAGAACACCGGTACTCTTCTAGCATTTTTCTGTAAAAAATCCACATTTAATCAAGAAAATTTTGTGCTGAAACCTGAAGTACAAAATCTCAACAAAAAATTGAAGAAAAGAGCGGGAAAATAATTATCCCGGTCGGGAAATTGAACTCTTGTTGATTACTGGATGCTAATTGGACAGATTTCTAACTAACTACCGGGAAAATATTCCCCGGTACTTTGCGTCTCCTTGCCCTTGGCAAATGTAAACAACTAAACGATTTGTAGATTTCATATATTTTGTGATATGTCCGTGTACGGCGAAATATGCAGCAAGTTGGACAAAAAATCACACTGCGAGAGACACAATTTTAATCTCTCTGGAAGTAAGTACTCTTGATATAATACGATCTTTTGATGATGGGCCATATTGACTGCCCATTGTAAGCTTTTTTATACAATTATACTTTCATGTTTACTATCTGGCTTTTATATTGTTGCAATCATACTGTTCTATAATAGTGTGCTACCTGCTACTTTTGTAAAAACTGCACTGTGCAGTGCCTTACTGTAATGTGTAGTACATTCTATATGTCTATATTGACTGGTTAGTTGCATACTTTCAATATTGTGTTCTGCCAACATACTGCAGTAGTAGCAGTACTGATTGGTGCACTGGTGTACTCACTCTGACACTACTGTGTGGTGCTGTATTATACTATATTGCGGTGCCATGCATATTTAATATATTGTGGTGCTGCTCTACACTTTATTCTGCCATTCTGTATTCTTTTATTTTATAATGTACAGTACCACAGCCCAGGACATGCCATGCAGTATGGCAGAGTAGTGCAATAGATTACAATACATTATAAAACAGTACAGTATGACAGAGAGAAGCATGCTCTAGTATAGTATGGCTCACACAGATGGCACCACAAGACAGAAGATAACAGAATATGGCACAATACAGTATAGGGCAAAATAATGTATGCATGGCCTCACAATATAATATATATATATATATATATATATATAATACAGAACCGCATAGTACAGGACAGTTTGGCAGAACACAATATTAAAAGTATCAGGAACCAGTAAGTACAATATAGAGATACAGTATGTACTACACACTACAGTAAGACATGGCATGGTGCATATTGTTGAGCCATGCTTTACTGTGTGAAATGTTGTACAACACTGTACTGCCGTGCCATACATACTATATTGTGGGTCTTGCCATTATAGAAATTATTGAGTGGAAATTTATATATATTTATTACACTTAAACAGGAACAGTTGCAAAAAATGCAAATATAGGTCCCTGGCAGGAATATATATATATATATATATATATATATATATATATATATATATATATATATATATATATATATATATATATATATATACTAATTATAATCTTAAAATTTTATTAATCGCTACACAGTGTTTCACGCTTTCAAAGCGATCTTCAGGCGATACTACTCTAAATAGTTTGCTTGCGCCATTCATTCAACGGTCCGCTGACGCGATTGCATCATGCGCGCGTGCGTTTAAAATTCCGCGCGCTAAATGAGTTTCTGTGGCGGCACTTTGAAAATAGTTCTGTTCGTTTGTTCAACGAACGAGATACGCCAACAAGATACGCCAACCACAAGAAATCCATCAACTCACCTCGCTATTCAAACGAAACCGAACTTTCTAAGTACGCATGGAAGCTAAAACAAAGTAACCGACCGTATACTATAAAGTGGTCGGTTTTGTCGCATGCATCAGCCTATACAGCAGGTGCAAATTCTTGCAACCTTTGCTTAGAGGAGAAGTTTTATATAATTAAATCTCACAAAGATAAGACGTTGAACAAACGAACAGAACTATTTTCAAAGTGCCGCCACAGAAACTCATTTAGCGCGCGGAATTTTAAACGCACGCGCGCATGATGCAATCGCGTCAGCGGACCGTTGAATGAATGGCGCAAGCAAACTATTTAGAGTAGTATCGCCTGAAGATCGCTTTGAAAGCGTGAAACACTGTGTAGCGATTAATAATATTTTAAGATTATAATTAGTATATTTTGCTCTATCAATTAAATTTGTTATTGAGCACTCTTTTTGTGCAACGGACAACGATTTATTACTGTATATATATATATATATATATATATATATATATATATATATATATATATATATATATATATATATATATATATATATATATATATATATTAAAAAAACTCATTGATAATTCATGAAGAAAACACAAAGACATGTACTACCTAGAGTATATACTAAGACTGTCTATACCAGTGTAGGTTAAGCCAATGTGAAAATGCTGTGCTGAGTGGTTATATTACTACCTTAAAAAATAAGCAGAAACTCGAAGTTTCGAGCGAAGGCCCTTCGTCAAGAGTTAGTCAAAGCATACCTACAGTATAACCTGATATGGTAGTAATCTATATAATATTATGAACTTATTTAACAACTGGCCTGAGAGATATAGCTCAGTTGGCTAGAGTACTGCACTGAAATAGTAGAGCCGCAGGTTTGATTCTTGCCAGACAACTATATCCCATTAAGTGCCAGCGCTCTCCCCTTGACGAGTAAAATCGTCTGGCGTTAGACAGAGTAAAATACTAAAGTAGGGTGCATCAGGGTGCATCGCCACTCAATGGGTTAACTAGACACATGGGCAGATAGGCCAGTTAACTATAGACACATTGGGCAGATAGGCTAGTTATCCCATTAAGCGCCAGCGCTCTCCCCTTGACGAGTAAAATCGTCTGGCGTTAGACAGAGTAAAATACTAAAGTAGGGTGCATCAGGGTGCATCGCCACTCAATGGGTTAACTAGACACATGGGCAGATAGGCCAGTTAACTATAGACACATGGACAGATAGGCTAGTTATCCCATTAAGCGCCAGCGCTCTCCCCTTGACGAGTAAAATCGTCTGGCGTTAGACAGAGTAAAATACTAAAGTAGGGTGCATCAGGGTGCATCGCCACTCAATGGGTTGACTAGACACATGGGCAGATAGGCCAGTTAACTATAGACACATGGGCAGATAGGCCAGTTAACTAGACACATGGGCAGATAGGCCAGTTAACCCATTAAGCGCCAGCACTCTCCCCTTGACGAGTAAAATCGTCTGGCGTTAAACAGAATAAAATACTAAAGTAGGGTGCATCGCCACTCAATGGGATATAGTTGCATTTTTTTGTAGCTATTCCTGGTTAGGTCTAATAAATGTATATAAATTTCCACTTGATAATTGCCATCTACAAATTAAACCCTTTAACTATATTATTCAATCAAGTGAGATCCTACTTAGAATCTTGATACTATATTGTGGTATTGATAGCACTACAATACTGTCCTGTACTGTATTGTACTGTACATGCACCATTCTGTATTCTTGTTGTGGTGTTATATGCTTAGCCATGTGCTTCTATCTGCTCTGCAGTGTTAATTACTGTCTTGAGCAGTGAGGCATATTCATTCAATTATATCCAATATAAGACTGTTATAAGACTTGTGATGTGTTGCACTAATGCTGTGCTATTTACTAACACTACAATACATTGGCTGCCAATGGCTGGGTTGTGTTAAACACTTCATGGCCCATGGCGTCCTACTTTGGTATTTTACTTTGTCTAATTCCAGACAATTTTACTTTTCCAGGGAGGGTATTAATGCACACTAATGTGGGTTAACCAGCTCAAACAATCACCTCAAACTCTATTGTGCTGCACTGAATTTTTATGTGTTTTAAACTCGGCTGTACTTCACTGTGCTACAGTAATCTTAACTATGCGAAATTGTGCTGTACTCATGGGCGTACCGGTCGGGGGGGGGGGAGCTGCGGCAGCCCCACCCCCAGTTTGTTGGGCAGTCGGGCAATATTCGCTCAACAGTTGGGCAATTTTGGTTTATTCTAAAAATAAATGGAAAAATTCTGTAAATTTTGTGGTAAATTTTGTGGTAAATTTTGTGATGTTTCGAAACTTTTTGTTATGTTCCCAAAAATTTTGGTATGTCCGAAAAAATTTTTTAACCCCTAAAATGGTACACTGACCGAAATTTTTTTGGCGACGGGGTGGTAAAAATAAATTCCGGAAAAATTTTTTTCGGGACTTGTCGGGCAAAATCCGGAAAAGTCGGGCAAATTTCTTTCCGCCCCCCTAAATTTTTCCTTCCGGTACGCCCATGGCTGTACTGTCCTTTGGTGCACTGTACTTTCAGGCATATTGTACTGTAATGTACTGCGTGATGCAAAATTGTACTATATACTTTGTTGTACTGGAATATAATGTATTTTGTGTTGTCATAGCTGTCATGTCTTGTTTTAACTAATAATAGTGGATTGTATTGTACTGTATGACAAGTACAATGTGTACAATTTGTACTTGCTATGTTTAAATTTATAATGATACAACACATCACCACAGAATAATAAAAATAAGTTGTAATAAAACACTGCGTCATTGAGCTGCTGTGACAAAAAATGTCACTCCTCTCATCTGAATATTTATATTAAACACGAAGTAAAATATGCTCAATTACCTGAAACATGAATAATGCAGTTCTCGCCTCCCTTCTGTATAATTTTCACGTTTTTTTTCTTGAGTGCAGTAGAATGGAAAGCAATCTGAGCGAGTTAAAACTATTAAAAAAGCCGAAAACACGACGCCATTTTGTTTGCCTTTTATAACAAATAACTCCAATAAATGGAGTTATATCTGAATAACTCCACCATCAAGAGTTAATTTTGCATACTAATTAGTTCTCCCGTATTCCCCTTACTCCTCAATGAGAGTTACTTTAACTCCTGAAATGGGGTTAACGTAGTCCTAAAATTTTAACTCCACTAAAAAGGAGTAATAGGGGAGTTATTTTAACTCCCTGAAAATAACAGTGTATAAATCCACTTTTTATTGACTTCAGTAGCAGGCTCTATTTCAAGCATAGAGCTTGACACGTAGGCTAGCTACAGAGACTCTGGTGCAGACTTGTCACGTGACATCCTAATTAAGTTGTTTTGTCCCGTGGGAGGGTAGGCTGAGATACGTAAAATGCAAAGATCGAGTTTCTAGGAGCGTTTATTTCGAATATCACGCAAAGCCATTCGATTGATCAAAATTTACTGTACGATTTATTCTGGTATGGTGTTTGTTGTTTAAATTGTATAACCAAAAAAAATACTTTAAATACCAAGAGCAATACCCGATAAAAACAAGCCACTTTGATGACTAATTCCGTTTTAAAACTATTAAATATATACTAACTTACCTCCGAAAAACGGCGTATTTGTATCAAACTTAAAGCAGAACTGATTAGTGTGATTCTTGGGCGAATGACAAAAACGTGCATGGCTATACTATAGCCGATACAATATGTCATATGTAACTGACGAGACAAGTAACAATGTAAACAAGCATGAAAATTTTCTGTTTGCATTTGCATTTCATAATTATAGCCTATTGGTGGGCAACTGCATGTATAACTGATCTCGACGATGTAAGCAACATTCCAACAATCTATTTTTTGCAGAAAAGAAAATGCATCCCAAAATACATACACAGGTTCGCAATCATATACAAATCCGGTAAAGTGTAACCGGTACGTTTCGTGAATTATTAAATTGGCGAAATTATGAAGGGGACATCGAAATACACATGCACTATTTAAGGCCCGATCACACTGCACAACGATAACGATACGATAACTTGTAAACACGCGATGCCATTGGCAAAAAAATTATTTTAGGGTCCGCACTGCAACGAAAGTGATAAAATTGTTGTTTTTTTTCAGTCGGACGATAACGATATATTTTTGACCAATCAGCGCGCGTATACAAGTTATCGTATGATCGTTATCGTTGTGTAGTGTGACCGGGCCTTTATCCTCGGTCATGAAAGAGGAAAAGGAAAAATTTTATAAAACATTATAATCATTCGAGTGGTGTAGCGCTTAATCTTAATCTGCGTATGTGAACAGCTGCTGAATAGAAGAAGGTGTTGAAATTAAATTAATATATCGTAACTGACATACAGCTAAGTAAACACGGAAAACGAGCATTATCCAAAACTGTCGCTAGTTAATATTTTCCATATTTTTACCCATGAAACAAATATATAACATAATAATTTTTACTATACTATTCTATACGATAATTTACAATTGTGATAATCCGAGTTATTTAATAACTTTTTTACGTTCAGTATGATCATGAGCATACAAATTGGTTGCAAATAAATTTGGCTGACGCTTATTTATATCGACAATTGAATAAATTTATTATAATATAGCGTTTGTA